TATTGCCATTTTTTGCAGCTCTTATGGTGTTATTTCAGAGATCTGTGGCTGATTATAATATTTTACAAAATTCTGTGGCATTGTTCCCAATGCCCTGATGACTATGGGTACCACTGAAATGTGTTTCATTCCCAAGTGAGGTATTTCTGTTTCCAGATCAATGTTTTTGTTAATTTTTCAATTTTTTTGTCTTCAACTCTTGCACCGCCTGGAATTGCAATGTTAATTATCCAGCTGTTTCTTCATCATATTACTGTTATGTAAGGTATCTTCCATTCGAATGCAAAAGACCCACAAGATCTTAGCTTGGCTGTTTTCTGATACCTTCTCTACGTGAGGTTCCCATGGATTCTTGGATGCTGGCAGATAATATTTTTTTCCATAATGGCCAGTGTATTAATTTTGTAACTCTATCTTGTCTAGATTTGTAGTCTCTCTGTGCAGCCTTGAACATTCACAGATGAGGTGTGAACGTTTCATCTTTTTCTTTGGCAGAGTCAACATTTGCTGTTACTTGAATTTTAGCTTTCATGATATTAGTTTGGAGTGCTTGTTCTTGTGCAGCAAAGATCAAGCCTTCAGTTTCTTTCTTGATGGTCCACATTTAGTAATGTCCAAGTTCAATTATTGTTTTCCATTAATATTTCTCAGATATTGTCCATGCAGTGGTTTATTTTTCCGGCTGTTTAATCTATCTTCAAACTGTTGTTTCTTATATTCAGCTGTTCTTTTTGTTTTTTCAAGATGTTACCAATTTTCACATCTTTAATTTTTTTTTCTGCTTTTTTAATATGATTATTTAGGTTGTTTTCTTTCTTTACTATTTCATTTGTTTGTATGTAGACTAATACTCTGCCCACCTAGTGGACAAGTCACTACTCTGGGCAGTTTCCAAACTACCTGTTGTCATTGTAGCAATCTGCAACCTCCAATTTTCCACGTTAAATATAATCTGTCCGCATCGTTTTTTGAATGCAGTGTGTAATGCATGTTCATTAATTTCCGTGTTTTTGATCCAATTTTTCTAATTCACTGTGGGTCCCATCTGTTATTCCAGCTGGGTATCTATTACTGGAACTGACCATGTTTTTATGGCTTTGATTGTATTTCTACCATTTAATTGTGATTTTAAAATGTTCCAGTCTGTCAGATCTTCAACTTTTTTATGCAGAAGCTTATCTGCTTCTGATTATCCAAATTATTTATAGTTCTCATCACTTTACAACAATTTTACGATATTGCCAAAACTTTTAGGTGTTTTTCATCTAATTTTCGGATCTTATCACGTTGTATAGAGAGAACTGCACATTTGTTAAGTCTAAATTTCATCTGAATATTTTTGTTAAATATTTGCACTGTATTTATCAGGGATTCTATCTTGGTGGAGCTTTTTGCATATACTTTTAAATCATCTGTGTATAGCACATCTTTGCTTTTTCCTACTTTATCGGATTTCATAGAATCATAGAATAGTGAAGTTGGAAGAGGCATCAAGTCCACCCCCTGCTCGATGCAGGAATACAAATCAAAGCATATCTGCCAGGTGGTTGTCTAAGTTTCTCTTCAATGCTTCTAGTGTTGGAGCACTCGGGGTACAATGGTACCTCGACTTGAGAACGCCCCTATATAAGAACGATTTGAGTTAAGAACGGCTCCGTTCGCAAAAAGTTGCTTTGACTTGAGAACAGAGCCTCGACTTAAGAACAACACAAAACAACGACAACAACAACAAAAACCACACCCTTTCCTGCTCTTTTTTTTTTAAAAAAAACTAAGTTCACCTTAGGTCAAAAGAAGAAAAAAATATTTAAAAATTCGCCCCCTAGTGGTAGATGCAGATTAACTGGTTTTGGATTAGTTCCTATGGGAACTAACACTTCGACTTAAGAACAGCGCCTCGATTTAAGAATGAAAAACAGCAGATACGGATTACAGTAAATAGTTTTCAATGCATCCCTATGGGAAATGGTGCTTCAGCTTAAGAACATTTCGACTTAAGAACACAGTCTTTCCCCATAGGGTGTGGTTTCCAGCCCCCGATCATCCTTGTTCCCCTCTGAATTTGTTCCAGTTTGTCAGCATCCTTCTTGAAGTGTGGTGTCCAGTACTGGACACAGTACTCCAGATGAGTCCTAACCAGTGCTGAATAGAGGGGAATTAGCACCTTGTGGATTTGGAAACTATACTTCTGTGAATGCAGCCTAAAAGAGCACTTTCCTTTTTTGTAGCCACATCACACTGTTAGCTCATATTCATCTTGTAATCTATTACAATTCTAAGATCCTTCTCACTTGTACTGTTGCTGAGCCAGGTATCCCTCATCTTGTAACTGTGCATTTGGTTTCTTTTTCTGAGGTGCAGTACTTTGAACTTATCCCTGTTGTATTTCATTCTGTTCTTTTCAGCCCAGTGCTTCAGCCTGTCAAGATTATTTTGAATTTTGTTTGTGTCTTCCAGGGTATTAGCTATTCCACCCAATTTTGTGTCATCCCTAAATTTGATAAGAATTCACCGCACTCCCTCATTCTAGTCACTAATAAAAATGTTGAAGAGGACTGAACATTGAGATACCCCACTTGTTTATTGTAGCCCAATTCAGTTTTATTTAGAATTATTGACAAGAGGATTAGTGAAATGTTAAGCAGCAATGGTGACAAAGAATCCCCTTGAAATATTCCTTGTTTAATGATTACTTCCCCAATTTCTTCACCATAAACCATTAAAACACTTTTCCATTTTTCCATGTTTTTTCTTGAGGAACCAGCCTCTAAATAAGTTCTAAAATGATTATGGTTATTACTATTACTACTACTATTATTGTTATACTCCTCAGCAATAACATAGTACCGATGGTCCAGACTTTGGTCTCCAGTGACACACTTTCTTACGCTTGAGGATCTTTTCTAGTTTCTTCATAACTGTCCTTTTTTCTCAATCTTCTTCTGATTTCTTGGCTGTAGTTTCAGTCTAGCTTGATTACTGAACAAAGGCACAGAAAATATTTAACAATTCTTGTTTCTTCATTGTCAGCATTGCAGTTGTGTAGTTCTTCTGTAGCCATGTTTTTTGTTGTCTTAAAGTTCAGTTGAAGTCCTGCTTTTGCATTTTGTTATTTCATTTTCATCAGAAGTTGTTTCAAGTCATTGCTGCTTTCTGACAGTAATACGTTGTCATCTGCATATTTTCCATTATTGATGTTTCTACCACCAATTTTCACTCCTCCATCTGAGTCTACTCCAGCGACCATGTTTGCAAATCAGAATGTTCTGTGTCCATATTCCATGTTCATTCCATGAAAAAATTTAACAGATAGAATGATAAAGTATACCTTTGTTTAATCCCTTTGCCTATGGATAACCATTCTGTTTTTCTATATTCTGTCCTAACTGTAGCCTCTTGTCAGACTACAGGTTATATATCAGAACAATCAAATATTGTGACACTTGTTTCTTGTAGAATGATCCATCATTTTTCATGATCTAGGCAATTGTGGGCTTTGTTGTAATCTACAAAGCATAGGCTGAAATAGCGTTGCACAGTTACCCTTGTTCAGATGTCAGCACCAGTAGCAAATTGCTGATTAAAGGCTTCCTTTTGCAATTTGAATGTGTATGTGACTCACATTGTGTACAACTTGCATGTACCCCAGAATCACCAAAGAAAACCTTTACTCAGTGACAACTTGTTGCTGCTGATGGTGTGATTCCCACTGTACATGCAGAGCTGTGCAATAAGATTTCCATCATAGACTGATTTTCTTCTGAAATTCCTTGGTATGCTTCAGTTGCCAATGTATGCTTGCAATATGAACTCCAGTGCACCTTCCTTTTCTGAATCCAGCTTGAACACTTACTCAATGGCAGTAGTACGTTGGAACTAGAGTGTGTTTAGTCGTTTAGTCGTGTCTGACTCCTCGTGACCCCATGGACCAGAGCACGCCAGGCCCTCCTGTCTTCTACTGCCTCCCGGAGTTGTGTCAGGTTCATGTTGGTTGCTTCGCAGACACTGTCCAGCCATCTCATCCTCAGTCGTCCCCTTCTCCTCTTGCCGTCACACCTTCCTAACATCAGGGTTTTTTCCAAGGACTCTTTTCTTCTTATGAGATGGCCAAAGTATTGGAGCCTCAGCTTCAGGATCTGTCCTTCCAGTGACCACTCAGGGTTGAATCAATAGAACTTACATAGGTTTTGTCTTACCAAATCCCCACTGATTTATTGGGGCTACTTTAGTTATGACTTATTACTAGATTTCAGCCCATACTGTAAATGGTAAAAGTCTTCTTTGTAAAATCTTAAGCATACCTTAGCTTGAAGTGCAAATGAGCAAAGTGGCCCTGTAGCTCCAGTACTCTTTGGCATCTCCATTCCTTGGGTTTGTAACACATACTGAACATTTGTACTCTGCAAGCCATTCTTTTATTTTCCACATTTGTTGGCACATCTTTGCTAGGATTTCTGTAGCTTGAAATAGTTCTATTTAATGTCCCATTTACTCCTTGTGCTTTGTTTCTTCCAATGTGACTTTTGCTTTGATTTTAGGTTCTTCATTCCAGGATTGTTTCATCTTCAAAAAACCTATCATCCTTGCATTTCCTCTGTGTGGTTCTTCAATGTATTTTCCCATCTCTTTATTTTGGATACTATATTTTAGTTTAAATTTGCCTTTGATTTTTTAAATCTTATTTTCCTCTTTTGTTTGCTCTCTTATTTTTTGCATTGATTGTTGAATATTTCTATTTGTCCCTATACTTTGTGCCTTTGCTGAAGTTCACATGAACACTGATGTGGAGGGATGAGAGCAGTTGTTCACTTGGGAATGATTAAGGCCAAGGTTAGTTGTGTAGCTCTTTGTAGATATACAAACCAATCCAGTTGTACAGGATATTCTGGACATTTCAAAAAGTCATGATATCATTGATGGAAATGCCTGTTGTTGTTAATGTTGTTCCATGCCTCCTTGTGTTCAGCCATCCATGGGTTCAATTTGTATTTTTTGTGCAGTGTCTGGAGCGAGAGCCAATTGTGTGCCATCCAGATCTGCAGCAGCCACAGGATTCTGGCTCCCAAGAACTTCCTGATGAATTCTTTGAGGTTACAGTAGATGATGTGAGGAAACGTTTGGCTCAGCTCCAGAACGAAAGGTAGGTTTATTTTTCATAAGTAGCTTGTCACTGCAACTGTATGGTCTTTCATCATCTTGGTGTTGCAAGTCTATGGAGTAGTATGGGACTGTGTTGGTCTGATTTCTGAGGGAATTATGAGAACTGAATAGACTAATGAATGTTCATCTCTCCTCTCAATTAATATTTCTTTTGTTCTTAGAGATTCATAGTCTTGTTTGTAGTTTCCCAACTTAAGTAAATCCACCTGCACAGGGTAGAATTTCCCCCAAGAACTGGGAAACCTAGTTCAAAATTTGACATGAGTGCAGTGTCATCCTAAAATACATTTTCTCAGAAAGAAAGACCTTAAGTGTGCATAGGATTGAAACTTCTTGTGGACTCAAAGGTGTAAGAGAAGTATTTTTGTATCAAATGTATTGTGAAAGTTTTATGCTCAAATTGCAGCAGTAGGAAACTTATCTTTCAAGTATGGGAAAAAACTCTCTTTCTCCTTCTTTCTTTGATATATAGCCCACTTTATCTTTTATTCTCAGAGCAGGCTACAGGAATTTTTTTCAGACACATAGATTTCTGCCCCGGGCAACAGTTTCCTGATGTTCTAAAAGGCTGAAGGTTTAGGCTTGGATATTCACAGCTGATGTATCAGTTTCTACAGACTTGTTGGTTTCCCCACTTTAGCCTGTACATTTAGGTCATAAAGCTGTGTAGACATTCTTTCTGTAGTGTACTCCGTTTAGATTATTCTTTTATGACTCCAGAAAAAGGGATAGATGGGTAGACAACAATGCTTGTTACTTCCATGTTCATTTTTTGACTGTTCTATTTAGTTCCATTTGATTACAGTTTTAAGTCTCAACTGCTAGTCCAAAAAGCAAATCCCTGTTACTTTTATATCAGAATATCCTTTCCTTGAGTAGCAATACTCTCTAGTTGGTAATTGGAATGTTCACTATGGGTGAGTCCATATGCCCATAGGAGGGGATTGGGAACAGAAAGAGTAAGCAAGGGGTTATATGAATTACAGATCAGGCAGTATAAATAAGATGACACATTAAACCTGTATTCGCTTTATTGGAACCAGACAAATTGGAACAAATTCAGAGTAGGGCAACAAGGATGATCAGGTGGCTGGAAACCAAACCCTGTGAGGAAAGATGAAAGAACTAGGCATGTTTAACCATGAGAAAAGAAGACAGAGGGGAGATGTGATAGCACTTTTCAAATACTTGAAAGGTTGTCATACAGAGAAGGAACAGGATCTATTCTCAATCATCCCCTAGTGCAGGATATGCAATAATGGGCTCAAGCTGTAGGAAGCCAGATTTTGGTTGAATGTCAGGAAAGTTTCCTAACTGCTAGAGCAGTATGACAGTGGAACCAATTAGTCTTTGTGGATTTGGGGGAGTCTGTATAGTCTTGGTGGGAGGGCTTCTGTCTTGCAGATTCATTGAAGGATGTTGGAATGCAGGGAGGAACTCCTGATCAGCATGTTTGTTTTCTGATTTTGTTGGTTAGGTCCTTTTTCAGTTTTCTGTAGGTGGTGGGGTCTAGATGTTCCCTGATTTTTTCCTTGCATTCTTGTTTGCATGATTACTGTGGTGTTGCCTCTGTCTGCTGGCAGAATGATGATGTCAGGATATGAGTTTAGGGACTTGATAGTTGTGACAAACCCAGACCTACTGGAGGATGCCACAGTTTCACTAAGCTGCCACCAACCATTCCCTGTAAGGAGTCACACAGACCAGGAATGGATTTTTAAACAAACAAAGGAATAAGGTTTAGTTAAACAACACACAGGGAAAATAAAGTGATCAAGTGAATAAGATACAGTAACGTGGCTTAGTCTCAATCATACATACACCAGTTTGGTTCACACAGAACACCTTTAAATAAAGCACAGACCCTGAACCTATCAGTTCTGGCTACCCATACAGACACCTGAACCCATCAGGTTGGTACTGACTGACACACAGTAGTACCCTGTCTGACACACAGACTCCCACACCAGCTTCTTCTCTCAGCTCTCCTTCCAGCTCTCCTTAACTTCTCCACACAGGCTTCACATATATATACAGTACAGCCCCTCCTCCTGATGTCCCGCCTTCCACTCCCCATAGGATGGAACTTTCCCTCCAAACCCATGACAGACAGGTAACATCAGTGCTGTATGTAACACCAATTACCTCAGATAGTGGTGAGTGCTCCAATACTGGAGGCATTCAAGAGAAATTTAGCCAGCCACCTGGCAGATATCCATTGAATTGTGTTCCTAAATTGAGCAGGGGTTTCGACTCCTTTATAGGCCCCTTCCGTCTTCATTATTCTATGATTCTCCCACAGTCTTCCAGGGTATCCTAGAGCGGGCTGTTAGGCTCAGTACTGTTATATCCTTCAAAAGGATAGTTGTCGTATCAGAAGAATATTAGTGTTTAACACAAGAATATTCTCTTTTCCTTCTGATATTAATGCATTGGAAAATAGTAGTGATTCTACTTTTGAAAAGAGAACTTGGATCCAGACATAATATATATATTGCCATGTTTTGGAAGTTAGAATAAAATCTCTGTGAATAGGGTATGCAGCAGTGAGGAGATGTTAAAACAGATAATTGGGATTAAAACAAAGGAAGGTAGTTAGGATTGTGATAAATACTAGCATAAACTGTATCATTGTTTTGCCTGGGTTTTGAAAGAATTAAAGATGGAATGAGTATTGCACAGATGAAGCTTTATAGTGATCATTCTGTAAGCACATAAACCTTTGCCATTTCTAAAAGGGCATTATGACCTATTTGTGTATTTTTACGGTTTATTTTTGTTTTGAAAACCACTTTAAAAAATAATTTAAAATTTTAAATAGTATTGATAGTGACACAAAATAATGATTGGCGTGCTCTTTCACTTAGAATAGGCAGGGTTAAACTTTGGAATTCATTTTAACACAGATGTCAGTAAGAACTCTTCTAAGTTGTATTTGGATGATCTCCGATTACACTAAATCCTTTCCCTCCCATCAGTCTTGGTGAATCAACATTTTTAGTTAAATGTCAAACAAATCAAGCTTCCCTACTAACCTTTCAGTCATTCCTTTGGTATTGTGGTATGGCATTTTATTGCACCAGGGACAGGTTGAATTCAGTTTTTTCTTTAAAGTTGAAGTTTTTGAAGTCCTGCACATTCTCCCCCTTTGTCCCCCAGCTATTCTGTTTATTTGGCTGATCCATTCAGGACAAAATGAGTCAAATGGAGCACAGGATACCTCTGCAAGGGGTTTCTAAATAATGTACTGTATAAGCACTTCGATTATATAGTTACAGTTTACATGCTGGTTACAGCTTTTTGTCTATACCACAAGGGGGAAATGTATCATACAGTGATGTTAACAGTGACTGTTCTCATTTATTTATTTATTTATTTATTTATTTATTTATTTATTTATTTATTTATTTATTTATTTATTTATTTATTTATTTATTTATTTAAATTTATACCCTGCCTATCTGGTCATTGTGACCACTCTAGGCAGCTTCCAAACAAATAAAAATAACATAAATAAATGTGAAGCAAAATAAACCATGAAGGCTGCACAGGCAAAAAATTACTATTCCAGGAAGGGTTTGGATGGTTGCACACAGTTAAGGGCACAAGAAGAGCCCAGCTAGATTAGACCACAGGTCAACTAGTTCAACATTGTCTTTACACACTGACCAATCAGTTGTTTTTGGGAAGCCCACTTCAGGACATAAGTAAAACTGCTCTCTCCCTCTCAGCTTCTCCAGCAGTTCACTATGAGAGCATACTGTTTCTGAAACTGGAGTTGATATATAGCTGTCTTCACTGGTAGTAGTAGTAGTAGTAGTAGTAGTAGTAGTAGTAGTAGTAGTAGTAGTAGTAGTAGTAGTAGTAGTAGTAGTAGTAGTAGTAGTAGTAGTAGTATCAGCAGCAGCATCTGGTGGGGTTTAGACTCACTAGAACTCAGAACCTTTGAAGGAGTGGAGGAGACTAAGATAGTGCTCCCCCCCCCCAGTGCCTGATGGGTCAAAATGGTTTTCGGAGTTCGTGGTCTTTAAGCTCATTATTAATTGCAATTATAGCTCTGGGATAAAAACTATTGAGAAAGCGTGTGGTCCGAGTCTTAATTGTTCTATATCTTCTGCCAGATGGTAACAGTTCAAAAAAGTTATAAGCAGGATGGGAAGAGTCTCTCAGGATGCTATGTGATTTCCTTAGACAGCGGGATGTGAAGATGTCATCCAGGGTTGTAGCTGGAGCCCGATGATATTCTGGGCAATTTTAATGGTTCTCTGTAGAGCTTTTTTGTCCGCTACAGAGCTACTCCCAAACCATGCCAGAATGCCATAGGTTAGGACACTCTCAATGGTGCTACGATAGTATGACAGAAGTAAATGCTGAGATAAATTTAACTTGCCGAGCATTCTCAGGAAATACAGCCTCTTCTGTGCCTTCTTTATTAGCATGTTGGCATTTATAGTCCATGAGAGGTCCTCTGAGATGTAAGTACCCAGAAATTTAAAACTACCAACTCTCTCCACTTCCTCACCGTTTATGTACAGTGGTAAATGTACATTTCTCTTCCTCCTAAAATCAATTATGAGTTCTTTAGTTTTTTTGATGTTAAGTGTGAGATGATTTTCTTTACACCAAAGTATCAACCTTTGTACTTCCTTTCTATAAGCAGACTCATTGTTCTTATTTATGAGCCCCACCACTGTCGTATCATCCGCAAATTTAATAATTGCATTGGTGTTATACAGTGGGGTGCAATCATGTGTGTACAGGGAATAGAGGAAGGGACTTAGCACACAGCCCTGGGGAGCTCCTGTACTTAGTACCAGGGTAGAAGAATGGTGAGATCCCATCCTTACTGACTGTGGCCTATCTGTCAGAAAATCCTTTATTTAAATGTTGCCCTGTATGAATAAATTCAGTCTCTTTATAATCTATCCGGGTTCACAGCCATGACTATATCTTGTGGCAGTGAATTCCGGAATTAAACTATGTGCTGCAAGTTAGCCTGAAGTGGATGTAAAGATATGTAGTGTTGGTGGAGACCAGTAGTTTCAGGAAAAAAAATCTTTTGAAAATTAGGCACTAATGGGCTCAGGCAAGCTTTTTAAACTAAATAAATGCTTATGTTAATTAAACCATTCTTCTTTCAGGTAACAAAAACCCATTGTAGCAGACTTTACAGTATATAACTATTTCATTAAAAATAAGGAAGTTAATATGCAGATTACCTCCTTTGGCTATGCTGCGTTTAGCCGTAAGCCTTGGGACTGTAGCCCTTAGACTCCTGGAAAATCCGAAGTTATAGTCCTCAGCCCAACTGAGATCACCACCCTTGCTACCTCTTTGGTCTCTAACTGGGTTGGTTTGCTGAGTCTCCTCTCTTTCTAGGAAGCGTTTAGAAGAAGCACCGTTGATGACACAGGCACAACGAGATGCTCAGATGAAGGAGAAATTGGCACGTTATCCAAAGGTAACTTTTTGCTTTGCATATTTCACAAAAACTGAATCATATGCAGGCAAGTAAATTGGAAGTATGTATGGGTACTAAATACTTGTGATCTTGGTGAAAGTCTTCTGCTGAAACTGCCACCATTGGTCTTATTTCCCTTTTATAATTTTTTTTCAGTTTCTCCCAGATAAATTGATGACTCTGGCATAATCAGCTGAATGGCAATACAGGTTTGAGTCATCATAGCAAGATTCTTAAGGCTGGCTAGATAACAGAGTTTCTTCTGTTTTGCTCCTCTTGTTATTTACCACCAACATTTTTCTTCAAAATGAGATGCTGTGAATTTCTTGCTGCAGTGGTGAAACCGAGCAAGAAGCTACAATCCTGTTCGGAGTGTAAGCCAAATTGTAATTTTCTGTCCCTTTTTCTCTGGTATACAAAGCTTCTCCTGCTGTGATTCTTGAGGGTGTGCATGAATGAGTCCTAAGCCAATATGTGACTTTGCCCCCTGAGAACCATGGTAGCAGTATTATGTTTACCAAGGAGAAATGGACGGACAGCTATGCTACAAAAAGGATTTGAGTCAACAATATTTAACATTTATGTAGTTCTTTTAGAATACTGAAATATTGTAATGTAGCATTTGTTTATGTTGCTATGGTTCCAAGGTTTCTGAAGCACTCTTCTTATATTGCAGACGAGAGACTTGAGGCTGAGGGAAAGGGAGAATAAGGGGAAGAGGGAGACAGCAAAATACTCTCTAATGACGAAGTTGCGATGAGCTTGGCTTCATCAGCGATGAAAATTTACCCCTCCCCCCAATGGATGGCACGAGACTCCTGTTGCTAATTGGCTTGTTTGGAAAAGAGTGGGAGGACGTCGAAGTTATAAAAGGAATGTCCTCCCGCATTAACAGCCTCTTCTTGACCAGGCACCCACCCGCTCACCCTATTTCTAGTATGAGTTACGGCTGTTTCTGCACTACTGCAGGTCCCCCTTTAGCTTGCCAATTGAATGGCAAAATTGCTTATGATTGGTTATAATTTTAATAAAAGGTGGCCCATTATTCAATCCATATTTATTTGTCTCGCATCTTTATTCTGGGGTTGGGGGGCAATGCCATTTGCTGAGTTTATGGTAGAGGCAATATTCCTGATTCATAGTCAATTTTAGCTTTTCACTGTTACTCTTAGTTGGTCTCAGTAAGAGCTCATCTTGTTGGATATCCACAAAATCAATGGCTCAAATCCTGTTTTGTTTTTTCCATACACTCATTGGTACATACAGTTGTCTTTTTCAGCCAGTTGCACAAGGGGGATATTCACTGTCCCCTTGCACTTGTTTAAACACATTGCATTCCAGAGGGCATAACTGCAAATCAGACATTAGTTGTGTTAGTCTCATAATAAGTCTTCAGCCTAAGGCCCTGTAATGCTCCACTGTTAATAGTAGGATTCTGCCCAGTATCTTGGAATCCCATATACAGCTTGAGCTTGGTCCTTCATAGAAGGGTACAGATTTTTTAGAAAGAACATTTCTTGTAAAAGATAGAGGAAGTTTACATTTTACCTGACTCTCCTGGCTCTTTGCCTTCAATTAGGTGGTGCTGAGGATTTACTTCCCAGATCGTCATATTCTCCAGGGTTTCTTTGACCCCAGTGAGACAGGTAAGACTTCATTACTTGCTTGTTGTTGTTTAGTTGTTAAGTTGTGTCCGACTCTTCGTGATCCTGTGGACCAGAGCACGCTAGGCCCTCCTGTCTTCCACTGTCTACCGGAGTTTAGTCAAATTCATGTTGGTAGCTTCAATAACACTGTCCAACCATCTTGTCCTCTGTCATCCCCTTCTCCTCTTGCCTTGACACTTTCCCAACATCAGGATCTTTTCCAGGGAGTCTTCTCTTCTCATGAGATGGCCAAAGTATGGGAGCCTCAGCTTCAGGATCTGTCCTTCCAGTGAGCACTCAGGGTTGATTTCGTTCAAAATGGATAGGTTTGTTCTCAGGGGACTCTTAAGAGTCTCCTCGAGCACCACAATTCAAAAGCATCAATTCTTTGGCGGTTAGCCTTTTTTATGGTCCAGCTCTCACTTCGATACATCGCTACAGGAAAAACTATAGCTTTGATTATGCCGACCTTTGTCGGCAAGGTGATGTCTCTGCTTTTTAAGATGCTGTCTAGAAGCAGGCATCTTTTAATTTTGTGGCTGCTGTCACCCTCTGCAGTGGTCATGGAGCCCAAGAAAGTAAAAGATGTCACTGCCTCCATATCTTCCCCTTCTATTTCCCAGGAGGTGATGGGACCAGTGGCGATAATCTTAGGTTTTTTTATGTTGAGCTTCAGACCATTTTTGTGCTCTCCTTTTTCACCTTTATTTCTGCCATCAGAGTGGTATCATCTGCATATTGGAGGTTGTTGATATTTCTTCTGGCAATCTTAATTCCGGTTTGGGATTCCTCCAGTCCAGCCTTTCGCATGATGTATTCTGCATGTAAGTTAAATAAGCAGGGTGACAATATACAGCCTTGTCGTACTCCTTTACCAATTTTGAACCAATCAGTTATTCCATATCCAGTTCTAACTGTTGTTTTCTGTCCCACATATAGATTTCTCAGGAGGTAGATAAGGTGGTCAGGCACTCCCTTTGGCCCCTTTGTAATCCAGCTTGTACTTCTGGGGGTTCTCGGTCCACATACTACTGAAGACTGCCTTGTAGGATTTTGAGCATAACCTTGCTAGCGTGTGAAATGAGTGCAATTGTACGGTAGTTGGAACATTCTTTGGCACTGTCCTTCTTGGGGATTGGGATGTAGACTGATCTTTTCTAATCCTCTGGCCACTGCTAGGTTTTCCAAACTTGCTGGCATATTGAGTGTAGCACCTTAACAGCATCATCTTTTAAGATTTTAAATAGTTCAACTGGAATGCCATCACTTCCACTGGCCTTGTTGTTAGCCATGCTTTCTAAGGCCTGCTTGACTCCAGGATGTCTGGCTCAAGGTCAGCAACCACACTATCTGGATTGTCTGGGACATCCAGATCTTTCTGGTATAATTCTTCTGTGTATTCTTGCCACCTCTTCTCAATGTCTTCTGCTTCTGTGAGGTCCCTACCATTTTTGTCCTTTATCATGTCCATATTTGCACAAAATATTCCTTTAATGTCTCCAGTTTTCTTGAACATATCTCTGGTTTTTCCCTTTCTATTATTTCCCTCTATTTCCTCATTACTTGCTACCAACTTACAATTCACTAAAATAGAGAACCAGTTTATTGCTGTCAGGCCTTCTGTTTCTCTTGAGATAACTTGAATGCAACTAATTGCTTTATCTGAGTGGGGTCCTTTAAAAGATCAAAATGTGTACACTGAGCAGTATGGAGGAATGAGGGCTCAGAATGTTCTCGAAACATAATGTGTTTCTGACAACTGCGTAGTGACTTTCTCTTCCAAGCCACGTACCGTGGCATTAGTCATGCTCAGATGAGGCTATTGAACAACAGGGTGTTGGTCCACTATAGTTTCATCCAGAGCCCAAAAAAGAGTTGGAAACACTGTAGAAAATGTGAATCAACCACCCTTCACAAACATGCCAGGGGCCAAAAGCAAAGCCAGGCTTCCTGCACCTCTAAATAGCAAATGGCTAGAACTTCCTGCTGCATGTCAGGATACACACCCATCTATGCTTTTTGTCTTGGCTTTGCATCCATCACTGTCTGTGGAACTCAGTGTCCATTCCTCCCAATGAATGCCAATTTCTTCTCAGGACCCAGAGATGCACTATGTAACTTCATGCTGGCTGCCTAAAAGGAAGATTCAGAAGTGTATCTTGTTCTTGTGAGAATGTATCAGCTCTCTTATTCGCAGTTTGTTTGGGTATGTGGTCTAACACTGAATCATAGAATTAGAAGGAACCTCAAGGGTCATCTAGTTCAACCCTCTGTGATGGAGAAAACTGGCTTGCTTTAAAACATTGAACAAAGGAGAATCTGTCACTTTCTGAGGCAGGGTATTCTACTGCAGAAACAGCATACATCTTCTGGAAGTTCTTGGTGGTGTACACATGATAGTTTACTTGTGTCAAGGCCTTTGTTTAGCTGCTGTGGAACCTCCAGTAGCTGCATGTGCCTCCTGAGGAAAGAGATTAAATAGTACATTGAAAGAAGATAAATAGAAGTTTTCACTTGTTTTTTCCTCTATTTTGTGTTCCTCTCTGATTAGAAGCAGTCATATTCATTGCAGCATTATCTTTTTCCTGCCTTGGCAGGGGCTAGAAGGCTTGCTTATGGGAGTCTCCAACAGTAAACTAAACTCCACCCTTTTCAGAGAAGCAAATCACTTAGCCAAAAGCATAAGAGATCTTTGCATACAGTTAATCCACAATTAAAGTTTGTTAAGGAAGATTCCTCGTCCTCCATCCTGTAGTGGAAGGGCTAGAGCATGCAGTGAAGTACCTTTGTATGTTTGGAAAGGCTTATGAGAGTTTTGGTTAGGTGGATGAACGTTTTTCAGTGATGAAAGAATTGGAGTGTCAAGTTCTTCAGAGTGGGACAAGAAGACATCTAATTCTAAAGAGAGTGCAATGAAGGCTGGAACCAAAGGCAGATGTTCTGTTGTGTTAGATTGATTTTGGAATTAAGGAACCTGAAAAAATATGTTTACCATTTGGGTCATTTCCTGAAACTTATTCTGCTCTGTGGATCTTCATGATAGTGGCTTAGGTTAGTGTTCCTTTAGTACTGCAGTGATAAAAAGAGATGTGGTCAGTGCCTTAAAGTACATAGTACAGTATTCACTATTCATCTTGGGCTCCAAACATTGTTTTTCTTGCATTGTTTGACAGTTGGTGCTCTGAAGGTCTTCGTGAAAAGCCACCTTGCAGACCCAGAAATGCCATTTTATCTGTGTAAGTTCAGATTTATATCTTCTAGTTTTATAGCTCACACTCCAAGTTCCACACTATGTCTCAAGGAATGTAAGTTTACCTGAGCATTTTAGTTGCCACATGGTTGGACTTTGGGTGGAGTTACATTCCCCTGAAAACTCAAGTTCACAGCTTGAGTGTGCTCCTGGTTTCAGCAACCATGAACCTGCACAGGTTTCAGCTGTGGTCAGATGTACATTATCACAGTTAAAGCTCATGTGCCTTGTCCTTGAGGAGCCTGATATAGTGACACATGCCTTAGTTACAGCCCATCTAGATTACTGCAGTGTGCTCTGCTTGGGTGCCTTTGGAGGGTGCTTGGAAACTTCAGCTGTTCAAAATGCTACAGCCAGACTTCTGATTGGTACTGGTTACAGGAAATACATAACTCCCTTATTACAACAATGTCACAGGCTGCCAGACAGTTTCTGGGCCCACTTGGAAGTGCTGGTTATGTCCTATAAAGCCCTGTTCAGCTGGGGTCCAGGCTACCTGAAAGACAGTACCACCGCATGTGAGCCTTTTTTTTTCTTTTAAGCTCTCCTGGGGAGGACTTTCTCTGTTTGTATCAGTTTCCCAAAATTGTTGGTGGGGGACATAAGTGGAAAGGCCTTCTCTGTGGCTGCTCCCAGGCTATGAAATACACTAGCTCAATAAGTCAGGTGAGCCTTGTCCCTTTTATCTTTCCATTGTCAGGCAAAGGCTTTTAAGCAACAAGAAGGGATTTTAGGAAGGCTGTATTTATTAAGATGTTAAAGTGTTTTTAAATGTTCTAAAACTTTTTTTTAATGGTGGCTTTATTGTTAGAGGTGTGATTGTTGTTACTATAGCTTTTTGTAGTGTTTTAACAGTGATTCTTGTATAATTTCAATTGATTATGATCTGTCTTGAGTCTCCTGTGAGGAGAAAGACAGCATATAAATAACATAAATTAAATAAAATAAATGCTTCTCTCCTTTCTTTCTTAATTTAGCTCTATAGTTTCCTTGTTCTGACTTCCTAATAGGAATTTTGTGTTTTACTTTAGTTATTACGCCACCTAGATCCATCCTGAATGATGACAGCTTGACTCTCTTCCAGGTAATTGTGGTGTTTTCCTTCCTGTTTGATCTCTTTTCCTTGTCATAAAATACTCTCCCCAGTATTTTTTTAAGAAAATGAATAAATACCTCTCTTGGTCTCTTTGAAAGCAAGGATAGATGGTATCTGTATTTATCTTTACATACTTCCTTGGGAGTTGCTGCCACTGAATAGTGAGTATACTTAACAAAATATCAGTAACAGTGCATAACAGCAACACTAAAATAAATGGTTATATCTAGGGTACAGACTTGATTTATTTGTTACTGAAAACAGTACCAAAGTCCAAAGAAGTTGATTGCAGTTAGTATTCATGCTGCAAGGTAGTTTTCTTCATATTTTTTTTTCTTTGTTTGTGCCAGGAGCATTGCCTTACAGTTGATAATGTATCAGTTTTTGGCTGATAATGGGCAACATCATGAGATTGCTCAGTAAAGGAAAGTGATTCTGTTCAACTATCTACTATCTAATTCCTGAAACCCAAATTAGAACAAAGCAAAGACACATAGGCCTGACACTTTTATGCAGTCCATCTTTTATGTGCTTATTGAGAAATAAATCCCACTGTGTGCAATTGGACTTGCTTCCACATAAGAACACATAAAATTGTAACTTTATTTTCTTTAGCTTAAAAGCAATTGAATAGAAAGGAAAGGAAAGGGAAGGGAAGGGAAGGGAAGGAAACTAGTGAAGAGAAAAATAAGAAAAGAGGCAGGCACTACATCAGGCCTGCAAATTATACGTTATTTGCAGCTACCGTATAGTTATGGTTGATGAGAGGTTTTCATGTTATCTCCCCCCCCCCAACAAATGGTGGAGGCTGTGCTTTTTTGTTGTTATTTTTGTTTTGGACAACTTTTTTTATTGTGGCTACCATTCACTTGTGTTGCAGTTCTAGCTCTCAATCCTGCCACCTGCTGAAAAGTTGACTGTCTAGTTGTCTCTTTTATCCAGTTAGATTTTATACAATGGTGATTATGCTCTGCCTGACTCTATAATAGTTTGTGCTTTATATCCAATTCTTCATATTTCTACTGGTGTACACTAGGGTGGCATTGTGTTGTTGAGTATACTTGAAGCAAAAAGCTATGGAAAAAGTGTGTCAGTGTGGTCATCTTTGTGAGAATGGAATATTAATCTCTGCTGTAAATTTCTTTACTTTTGAGGTATATTTACTACCATAAATTTCTGTTATAAAGCAAAAGTTATATTTTGGCACCCGCCGCGAAGAAGTCTGGGAAATCGACCTTCTCGGGCTTGAGGTCGACGGCTTCCACTTCAGTGTTGAGGCCTCCCTCAGGCTCAACGCCAAAGAAGAAGAAGAAGAAGGCTGCAGCTTTGGGTGCGCCTCATGTTTCGGCTCTTTCGCCGAGACTGACTCCCCTTGTTAGCTGGGATTGAACTTTCTGATGATGATGATGAGATTCCACCTTCAGGGACGGTTTTGCCTATCTCCCCCTGTCTGAGCATCTCCTCTGCTTCACCTTGCGGCTCACCAGTGTTTTGTTCAGGGACTCCAGCTCCTCCTTCTCCTCCTCTGGAGCCCACTGCCGCTCCACCACAGAAGAAGAAGTGGAAGACCCGGCACATCGATCCCGAGCGGACTCAACCCTGACCAACGTCATTAGAGCCTCCACAGTACCCAGACTTTCACCATTCGTCCTGGGAAGATCTGCGAGGCTTCTTCAGACCAAGAGGCTACGGCTTCAAGGGCCCAGGTTATCCAATGCCGTTTGACCCAGCCTCGTACTTCGGATCCAGGCAGTGGCCTTCATACTTTGGCCACTTCTCACCACAGTTTCCTCCTTACCCCGAAGGCTTTTTTCGTCGCCTGGGTGAACCCTCACCGCAGCTTCCTGCCCGCAAACAGCCCATTCAGCCAAGGGAACAACAGTTGGCCCTGATACCTTCGGATCACCCGTCAGGCTTGATGTCTGGCGTTTGGTGCCAAACCAAGCTGGCATCACATGTGCCTCCCTCGCCTGCTCCTTCATCTCGTGCTTGAGAGGAGGAGTTTATGGAGGTATTAACGCATCCCGAGTCGGAGCTCAAGTACCCTCAAGATCAATCGCCTGCTCACTCCCTAGATAGGGACGTTGATGTTGAGTCGGGCTTGAGTGCAGACGAGGGTGAGATCAGAGAAGATTCACCTGTCGACCTTCCCACTCTAGCTTCAGTGGTTGTTGGGAGCCACCCGCCCTTCCCTTCGGAAGTCTATACTTCATACACTCAGTTGAACAAGCGTATCACTGATGTGCTCAACCTGGTTGTGGTACAGCCACAGCTCAACATCTGGATAAGGTCTTTGAGGACATTACTAAGGACAAGTTGCCTCCCCTACGCCTGGCTTTCATTCCATCTCTAAGTTTGGTGAAAGAGTCTTGGGACAAGCCCTCCACATCCCAGCAAATTCCCTGCAGGGTAGAGAACCTGTGTAAGACTCATGGCTCAGGGACAGAATTTCTTTCAAAGCACCCACTGCCCAACTCTTTGGTGGTGGATGCTACACAGTCGCATAGCCGCAGCAAGTCCACATCGGCTCCTACAGATAGAGAAGGGCAGAAGCTGGACACCCTGGGCAGGAGGTCATACACGTTGGCTACCTTTGCTGTTAGGGTGGCTAACTATCTTGCTGCCATGGGTGCCTACCACAGGCACCTATGGAATGCAGTCTTGCCTGCTCTGAATGCTGCTCCTGAGGACATCAGGAGTTCCTGCTTGGCTCACCATCAAGAGGCTATGTCGTTGGCTCGCCAAGAAAGGATAACAGCAAGACATGTTGTGGAGGCATCCTCTAAGCAGTTGGCCACAGTGGTTGCCTTATGCTGACATGCATGGCTTCATTCGGCTACCATTGCTGAGGATGTGAAGAAAAGGACTGAGGATCTTCCCTTTGATGGGCTGGCTCTCTTCAATCCTAAAACAGATAAGATCCTCGAGAGTCTGTTGAAGCACCGAAAGACTGCAAGATCCTTCACTTCTCGGTCTGCATCTCGTGGGTCCTGCCGCCAGTCTTATTCTTCCAGATCTTACTTCAACCGTACGAGGTCACACCCATTGTTTCCTCAAGGTCAGTCCCGTCAGCAGTCCGGTAGACAGCAGCCACGACAACTGGGCTGTCTTCAGGACCGGAAGACTATGTAACCTCTTTAGTCTTCTACAGCCATCAACACCACTTCTTGATATGGTTAGACTGGCCCAATTTTTTTGATGTCTGAAGGTCTATCACCTCCAACTCCTGGGTTCTCACTATTATTGCCACTGGCTATGCGATTGAGTTCGACTCCACACCTGGCACAGTTTTTGTCAGAAACACGGACTCTTCTCCTGTCTTACATGAAGAAGTTGACAAGTTACTCTCCAAGGATGCTATTACCTTGGTGGAAAACCCTGATCTTTCATGTAGCTTTTTCTCACACTACTTTATTATACCAAAGAAGGATGGTGTACTCTAGCCTGTTCTTCACCTTAGACCCTTGAATTCTTACATTATGCCCTGGCATTTTCATATGGTTTCTCTGAACAGCACTATCCAGATGCTTAGGCAGGGTGATTGGTTTGCATTTATTGATCTCAAGGATGCCAATTTTCACATTAGTATCTAACCTGAGTATTGTCGTTTTCTGAGATTTTCACTGGACGGAGTAATCTATGAATTCAAGGCTCTTTCGTTTGGACTGTCCACCTCACCCTAGCCTAGAGTATTTACAAAATGCTTAGCCCTGGTGGCAGCTTACCTTTGTCTGCAGGGCATCACCATCTTTCCTTACGTTTGATGACTGGTTGCTGGTGGCAACTTCCTCTGAGACATTGTCGCGTCACTTAACATTTACTTTGTCCCTCCTGTCTGATCTTGGTCTCCAGGTCAACCACAAGACGTCTACTTTGACCCCTACCCAAAAGGTGACCTATATTGGAGGGGTCCTGGAAGCTGTCTCAGGTCGTGCCTTTGTCCCAGAGGATTCTGAAGATACAGAACCTTCTACCTTACTTCACTGCAGGGGCAAAGGTCCAAGCTTTACTGGTTCAGTGTCTACTAGGCCTGATGGCCTCCATGACTGCGGTCATTCAACATGCCAAGTTGAAGATGCGGTCCTTCCAGGTGTGGTACCTTGCGATGTTCAACCCTCTTACTGATCCGCCTTCCAAAACTCTTACAGTCTTGATGGAACTTGTGGAGCAGCTAACTTGGTGGTCCCTCTGCTCCAATCTGCTTGTGGGCAGACCTTTTGGCCCTCTTCAACCATCAGTTCAACTCACCACAGATGCCAGCCCGACTGTTTGGGGGGCACACGTCCAGGGTTTGACAGCGAATGGTCATTGGGCTCCAGAGGAATCCCACTTGCACATCAACCTCTTGGAACTCCTGGCTGTTTTCAAAGCACTTCAAGCATTTGAACGCCTTCTCTCTGGACAAGTTGTGCAACTGGCGACCGACAGCACCACTGTGGTTTATTACCTGAACAAACAAGGGGGTACTTATTCCCAGCGACTGCTGTATCTCACTATCCAGGTTTGGGAATGGTATTTCGAATGCCACATTTTCCTTATCGCAGTACATGTGGCCTCCACCAGCTACCTCCTTGCAGATCATCTGAGTCAGTTGCAGGACTGCACTCACGAGTGGTCGCTGGACGACACAGTCTTCCATTTCCTCTGCCTGAGGTGGGGCACCCCATGCCTGGATGTATTTGCATCTGCCATCAACAAGAAGTGTGATTGGTACTGCTCCTGGGTGGGGGCAGGGACCGATTCAGAGGGAGATGTGTTTATGATACCTTGGACAGAGGGTCTGCTGTACACGTTTCCTCCCATTCCACTAAACCAGAAAGCAATCATCAAGACCCGACAGGATCAAGTGAATGTCATCTTCATCGCTCCCTGATGGCCTCGCCAACCCTCGTTTGCCCCTCTACATCTGATCGCCATTGATCACTTTCGACTGCCAAACCTTCCTCACCTGCTTTCTCTCCACGATGGGTCTGGACTCCCTACACCTC